TGATATAAGATGGAGCTTGGCCATTTAAGGCCATTTAAAAAAAATTTACCATATAAATTTTACTGCAACAAAATCTGAAAAATTTTTATCAAGCCCCTTTAGGTAAATCTTCAATAAAAACAAGTTTTGCCACTAATCACCCTGAAGAACATGTTTAACAGCTTTGCATATCTACAGACTGAAATATTGGAACATTCCTCCTAACAATTTTTGAAACTGAAGAGAAAAAGCCCCTCTTAAGCCATCCCACAGAACGTTTTTTTTTTTTTTTTTTTTTATTTCAATCGAGTTCCAGAATTGGGCAACTTAAGATGCTTATACATCGAAATAGCTATGCCAACTTGATTTTGATGTTCCTTTTCTGGGAGAACATACCTATATCTTTGCGGATCTTTTCAAGTATTTTTTCCTGTGGTTTTGAATTCCGCGCAACTGGAAGGATTGTTGGTTGTATTTTTTCCTTTTTTAGACATTTTTCATGATGCCTATCCATAGCAAACCTTGCTTATGAACATACCAATGACATAGCAATGACAGCTGAGTTTGAAAGGAGACGCCAAGTATGCAGAGTAGAAGCAAAGAGAAGAAAGAGGAGCGAGAAATTAAAGCCATCACCTCTTTCAATTAGTATGACAATATAAGATCCATAGGACACAAGTTAGAAAAACTCCAAGCCTTGGCAAAGAACCAGCCAGAATATTGGCAATGCAGTATTATGGTTTTTACAGAAGGTGTCCCTCTGCAAGGTTTTATGGTGAGAAGAGAGAGATTTAAAGAAGGCTTGAAAACTATACAGAGGTGAGTTAGAAGGGTTTGTGAACAAAAGGTGGTGTCATCCAGGACAGTGGATTTCATGAAGATTCTTCTCTGCAGCCCAGATATTGAACTGTTGGCAGTTAATTTGCATGCATATTAGTAGCCTAGAGTTTACCAGTGCTGTTTTGGAAACTGTTTACATTCCACCTTCTACTGTTGCACTTCTGCTGTCGACAGTCAAATGCAAATCTCACCTTACTTTGACTCAAAGCTTCAAATGTTTGATCTTCCACCTCTGCCATGGACACCCCTGCTTCTATGCATTATGGTGCTATGGTGCTTCTGCCTTTTATCTTTCTGTCGCTAGAACTCGGTACAGAGGCTACTGGACAGATTGAATCATAATAAGTCTCCAGGTTCAGATGGTGTCAACCCCAGAGCCATGAAGGCCTGTGTAGAGCAGCGCTGTGGGATTCTACAGCACCTTTTCAATCCCAGTTTGACCCTGGAAATAGTTACAGTGATTGTTCCAGTACCAAAGAGACTCAGCCAACAGTCCTCATAGACTGTAGACCTGTTTCCCATGATATCCAACATCATCAAGGTAGTAGAGAGACTTCTGTTGGTTCACCTGATCAAGCAAACAAGCAGCTACCAGGACCCCTGCAATTTGTTTATTACTGTGGAGTTGGAGTTGATGATGCCAACATTCACCTGCTTCAACAAACTCACTGTCATTTAGACAAGGCATACAGCACTGTGAGGATCATGTTCTTCGATTTCTCCAGTGTATTTAACACGTTTCAGCTTGACTTACTTTGTCGGTACTTTCAGAGGACTCAGGTGGAGGCAATAAAAACCGCCTGGATCAAAGACTACCTGACCAACAGACCTGACAAACAGACCACAGTTTGTGAGACTAAGCAGTCAACTGTCTAATCAAGTAGTCACCAGCACAGGAGCATGACAGGAGATGGTAAAAGACAGACTATTGTCATCTGCAGAAATAATCTCAGGACTTACAGAATACTCTGTATTCTTTGGGTGCATCAGAGATGGACTAGAAGCTGAGTATAGGGAGCTGGTGAATTGCTTTGTGACATGGTGTGGAAACAATCATTTGATTCTAAATATGAAAAAACAAGGGATGTGATTGTAGATTTCAGAAGAAAAATAATAAAGCTGAATCCTATTAATGATCGACTGTACTTCCTAAGGAAGCTTAGGTCATCAGTGTTTGCAGCAAGATGCTGCATATCTTCTATAACTCTATTTTGGAGACTGTGATCTCTTTTTTTCACTCAATTACATTCAGTTTATTTATATAGCAACAATTCAATCAGATCACAGTCAGATTGTGAACAAAACATGTTCTGTCTAAGGAAAACAAGCTAATAGCATTTAGTCAAAGAGTTTTCAGGACAAGCTCGTCCTGGTGAGGATGTGGCAGCAAGAACGAGATTTGCTTGCATTTTGTTGTTGAATCTATAGCAATCCCTCACATTGAGCATGCATCTAGTGACAGTGGAGAGGAAAAAATCCATTTTAACAAGAAAAAAAGCTTCCAGCAGATTTACAAGAGGAACACAGAGGCACTAAGCAATATATACTTGGAATATTTGAAAAGGTAAAGATGAATTAGCTCAAAAAGTGCTTCTGTATAGCAAACAAACAGTTAAGCAGAAGAGCCATGAGCTAGTCTTCATTTCAAAGGATTACAGGAGAGCACAAGAAGTTAGTCACAGTAAAAGTTGAGCCAATAGCTATGTCTAGGGTATAAACAGGAATATGCACTAAAAGACACGCATCAATATTTGAAGTTGTTGATGGCAGCAGCCTTTCCTCTCCAGGATGGTGTCACAGCCAAACAGGAACAAACCAGATAAAATGATTCTACTATGCCGGAGAATAAAACAAAGAGAACATAAAATTACTTTAAAAAGCTCCACACATAAAGAAAGTTGTCTCTGTTCTAGGAACTCCTCTAGAAACTCCTCTACTTTCACAATGAAAAATTTGTCATAAATTGGAGAACAGTGAGCATAATCTTCAGAACATTGTTAAACAACAATGTCTTGAGTCAAAGACTTCACCAGATTTGGTGCAACAGAGACCTACAGAGAAGATTTTTCTCGTCTACATCTGTTAATATCTACAAATCGTTGACAAAAAAGACAACGAATTACAACATCAAATTTTCTTTGGAAATGAAAAAGTATTTTTGTCATGAGTTAAATTTTGATTTTGATCTGCCGTTTGAGTGGACCATTCTCCAGTTATAAATGAAGTACAGCTGGAAAGTTACATCTGTCCTAGTCTCAAATATTTTCCTGCTTTTAGAAGGGAAAATTTAGCCTTACACTGGATGTAACTCCATCCACCTTTACGTGGCTATGACCAGCATCTCCGTCCAGGCTAAAGTAAAGCATCCCCACTGCATGACGCTGCCAAAATTATGTTTTGTGTTATGCTGGTGAAGATTCTCAGTCATTCAGATCATAGTGAAACGTCTTCAAACATGGAAACAGTTCAGTGGATTGTTTTTTAACTTTTTTGGTATGTTTTGTGTTAGTCTTTTGACTTCTGCTCTTCTACGTTTGCTGTGTTGCAGGTATGACATGTTCCAAACAAAATAAGATATATCTTCCTTGCAATAGCAAATTTCTTCTTCATGCTTTTTCATAAAAGCCACATTTTGAGAAGTTGACACTGAGAAGTGTCAACAGTCCCACCTTATTTGTGGATCTAAGCAGCTACTCCATTGCTACCTAGTGATTTAATGGTAGTATGTCAAAGGATAGATACATTAAAACTGATCAATTACTTCATTGTCATTTACTGACAGGGTCACTGTGAAAAACTTTTACAAGATATGCAAACAAAAAAAACAAAAAAAAAACAGGGATTAATCAACATAAATACAGCTGAAACCATTGAAGCTCAGTTGAGAAAATAAAAGACAAACATGCACCTGTTCAATCAAACACTCACTTTGACATTTTGTTCATTTTAGAAAACCCATGGATTACCCAGAGAATCTAATCGGAGGCGTCCCTTTGAGAGGGTTTCAAACTACCGCTAACCGTTTCTCGTCTTTCTCTCTCTTGGGATTAAAAAGCTGAAACTCTGTTTTCCTCTTCCCTCCCTGTCGTCCTCCTTCTTTCCTTTCTTCACCCTCCCTCTTTCCGTGTGTGTTTTTTGTTGTTTGATGGTTTAGTTTTTGCCCTCTGTTTCCCTCTCTCCCTCCACTCAGCCGTTCAAAGACGACATGGACCTGAAGCAGGAGATCAGGAGCGAGAGCGACACGCGGGAGGAGTATGAGCTCAAGGTGAGATGAGTCAGCGAAGAGGTGATCATGTGCTGACACTGGAGGTTTTCAGGAAAACAATTATCTTCAGCATCTTTGGCATCATTTCCTGCATGTTGCATGAGCTCTGTGGTCAAGTTCATCTCCCAGTTCCTCTAAGGTCTTGTTATTCCTCAAGCACAGCATTTTAAAAAATGGTAGAAGGGTTCTTGTTTGCCAGAACAAAACTATTTTTATAAGACACTTTAAACTGTGCTGGGGAAAAAAAAATCCCCTCATCTCTGCAGAAATGTTCTTAAAATCGACCGTAAACATTTGAAGCCAGAAATGTTCCTGAGACCTAAGCCATCGCCTTTCTTTAACTAAAATAAACTCTATATGAATAGATGTTTATTTTTTTGATTATTTAACAGTCTCCTCTATCAGGGAATAGAAGCATTTTAGGTTATTTTGCAAGGTAGCAATCAAAAAAGCTTTTATTTTGAAACAATTCTCTAAAAGAGAATACATGTAAACATTCTGAGAAAAAAATTATCTGGAGCACTGAGGGTCATTAAACTGCATCAGTACGATAAGCATGGAAGTTACTTCTTTAAAATGATACTAGACCATTAAAAAAATTTTATTAAGTAAATTAAGAAATGTATTTATTTATTTATTTGCTGTTAATAGAAATAAGTATAAAACATGTATTAAATCTGCTGTACATCATCTTTTTTCTACATCATTTTGTGAATATTTAGCCATCTCTTTAAAGCGCATTGTCAAATTTTGTTACATCTTTTTTTTTATTTATATGCCTGTAAATGACTCTGGTGGTACACATTTTTTTTTCTGAAAAATTCCTCTTTTCTGCTGCTGTTATTTGTTATTTTTTCATTTTAACCCTTTGTTTTTGCTATATTACTGTGCATATACGGCTATTTGTGTATGTATAAAGCAACAGAGGTACAATGCTGCAAAGGGGGTAAAAAAGGAAGTACTGGAGCAAAAAATGTAGCAACTCCAAGCAAAATTTGGAAAATAGTGAAGAAAAGTCCAAGATCCCGTTTTAAAAAATGCAACAAATATTTGATTTTTAGAGGAATAAGCCCCCAAAAGTCTCAGGGTACAGTATAACGTCGGTTTTTACTGAGATGGGGGCTAAAACTACAAACACATTCACATGTTGTTGTGTAGTTCAGAAAAGTTTTGAAACTGTTTATTCATCATAGTTACAATTCACAACGTATGTCATCTCAAAGTAAATTCACAGAGACAATTCAAGCAGAATATACAGTAAGATTGGTAAAAAGGTTCTATAAGGAAACCAGCTGACTATTTGATAGATGCATGAGTATATTTCAGTAGTGATACTGTAGCAATACTTTTCTGTCTCTACAGTCTATGTACAAGCAAAGTTATAAATAGATACATTTATTAAATAGAATAAAGAGAGGAGGGGACTCAATTTTCTGTCACAGCTGCGAAAATCCAAACGACTCAAGGTCAGATTAATTTCAGGGCTCATCAGCATTCATTCATTCTTTTTTGAATTATTTAATAAACTTATTTCTTATCTTGATGCTCTGTCTCTGGTTGAAATTGTTAGGAACAGAATTTTCTTAACCCTTGATATCAAGATAAGAGCATCTGGGAAGGATTCACTAGCACTTAGAGTTGTTGGTTATTGGTTTATTTTATTAATATCAGATGGTCCTTGACCACTCTGAGCTTCTGCTTTGCTGCGAGGCACTGAAAGGCGGTCGGGCTCTATTAAGTAGCTTCAACAGTTTTCTCCATCTGGCATTTTGACAGTTCTACTGTATACCTGCTCATCACACCTGAGGCTGGAATTCTATTTAGGCCCAAATCTAAACACTATCAGGATGGACGCTCTTTTGGTCTTTTTTGTATATATAACTTGACTATAGCTTGACTATCTTTAAGCAAGACATTCATACAAATATCTCCGATACAGAAAATTCTGCAAGTTTTAAATTATTCAAATTTGCTATTTTAAAACATTGGGTTTTTTGCTGTTTTTATTTTTCATTTTTATTCTTAACACTTGACAGTTGTCAATTCAAAGCCCTGATTGGATATAATTGAATCTAATCAGCCATATACGGTATATGATTGAAAACAGTAGTTTTAAAGAGCAGTAAAGATGCACCTTTTTTCAGTAGAACATGGTCTACATCTGTATGGTGATTGTGTCGCCACTTTACTCACACACCAATGAAGATCGTGATGCTGTGGTTTTTCTTATCAAATTTTCATGACTGTCCTTGCTGGAGTTCATGCAGGAGAGACTAATATGCTTTTACCTAATGCCTTAACTCTATCAAGAAAGTTGCTATAATCTTGTTTCAACACACCATCATAAGCATTGATTTCCACCTAGTGGCACTATGAAGCTTGAAGGCAAAGCTTACCATGGAAAATTATGACCTTAAATTGCTACAAATAAATATCAACAGAAGAAAGGTGAATAGAGCCCTGCCAGTGGCAGGTTTTGTCATTAAACAGCACAAATTTTCAACACAATTTTGTTTTATTTAAATCTAAAAAGGTTAAAGTGCATTTGTGTACAGGCCCTTTACATAGATACCCCAAAATATAATCCATGACAACTTAATACTTTCTAAAGTTACCTCAATAATTGTTTGCATTTAATTCAAGGGTTTGAATTATACACAGTTTAACATTTTGGTAGCTGTTTAGAAGAATCTGCCATTATTGTGCATGACTGATATCCATAACAATGTCATGGTTGTATAATTTTTGTGCTCATAAATCAGAGGTTCTAGTTAAAGAGTGAGAAGATTCTGGTGGCAGCAGGGCCACAGTTTTAGTTTTACTGCTGTTATGACTAGTCTAAATGGGCTGCAAGAATGTAATGGTAAGGCATTCTGGAGAGTGTCACAAAAGCATAGTGTAGAGATAAGACATAAGCATGCATTGTCTTGAGGCTTTACAGAATTTCCCAGGAATCCATGCACTGTTTGCTGCATCGCACATAAATCGTAACAAATCTGTACTTGACATGAAATAGCAACACATCATCTACATAAAAAAACAATCATTCTACAATGGGAATGAGCTAAACCTGAAATATATGACAGTGTATTTGATAAGACATATGTTTCTATGAATACATTTCTGAAGCTTTATTGATTTTTTGCTAAACAAATCTTTTTCTGTCTAACCCACAGGATCCAACTAATGGCTACTATAACGTCCGAGCTACCACCCATGACGAGGCGCGACCCCAATCCCGTGTTGTCCACTACCAGGGAGAGTTTCGCCCCCCGAATCCTAATACCGGACCAGGTGGAGCCACTTCGAGCGGACCTTCTGCTGTAGCCAGTGGTGCAGTTCCTCCCAGCGCGGTGCCTGGCTCAAGAGCTGGCTGCTATGACCCTCGTCCACCCTCCAGGATGTCCCATGCTACATATGCCCAGTTTAACACCTTCTCCAGGGCAGCCCAGAGGCAGGATGTTCCTCCAAATCCTGCTCTTCCATCACCAGGAGATTTCTCTGGAGGAGACTGTGGCCTACTGGACAATACAACCCAACTACCATATGACAGCTATGGATTTCCCTCCCAATATCCAAGCTACCGTGTTGGCTTTGCTCCTACAATAGAGGAAGGGCCTGCCTATGAGATGTATCAAACAGGACAGGGGAGCGGTTCAGGGCCAGGAACAGGACAGCAAAGTCCTGAAACAGGCTTGGCAAAGTATGGGAGTTCTACTCGCTTCTCGTACTCATCCCCACCCTCTGACTATTCCCAAAGACACACACAACGAATGCAGACTCATGTGTGAGGAAAACATAAACATACTTCTTGAATTTATGCTTTCAACACTATTACACAACCTGTATAAATCCTAACGTGCTGTTTGTGAATCTGAGAGAATCTGTTTTCCTTTTTCATGGCAATCACTGCATGGATACCTGTTTTTACACTATTACAATAGCCAACATTTAGGAGCATTATGTACGACACAGAAAGAAGCAATGCTTCTTTATGTTAAATCAGGCAGTCTACGTTCTGTAATCATCTAAAGCAAAAGCGGAATGCGGAGAAAAGAAGAGAAGAGCACTTTGCCAACTTGACTTGGAGGCGGGTCAACCCTTGACCAGCGTTTAGACCACCCCCAGTCTCACAGTCCTCCCAAACCCTCCCATCTCTGTACATAATGTTACATTTGGGTCATTTCAAGATTATATTTCTTGTATAAAGCTATAAACAGCAAACCTCTAAGTAAAATACACATTTTTTCATTTTCTGACTTACATTGCTAATCACACAAACCCAGACATACAACCCCATGTCTGCAAAAAGAATGCAGCAAAGGGGAAGCTTGGACTATAGACATAGGTGGCGCTTGTCACTGAAACTTGCATAATGGCTTTTAATTACAAGATCTACCTTGATTTAAGTGGGACAGTTGTTTGGTGTGATCAGGTGCCACTTCTTATGTGCCAACACACAAGAAAACATGGTGTCTTCTGTTTATTTCACAGCGTGGACAATGAGGTGCTCCGGGTAACAGGATAATACAAGATAAAGGAGCAGTAGCAAGCGTCTCTTTGCTCCAACTCGTATTGTGTCTCTGTCTTCATCACCCATTTCTATACCTAATATTTCACCTGATGTCAGACCTATAGGAAGTGTTGTGAAACAATGTGTGGCGGCAGCGCCTTCTCATTCTATACATTTCTGCAATTTGTGCAAAAAGATACCTCCCCTACCCTAAAGTGTTCAAATGTACTTGTTTTTCTCACTTGCACAGTAGGATAGACTTTTTTCCATATTTATACTAAAGCGTATAAAAAAATGCATTCAGAAACATTTTATAATATTTTTATAAGGAGTTGTGGACCAAAGGTTCAGCATTTTGGGGGACACTCACTTTTTGATGTGTAATGCGGTGTTAACGTTCGGAAGAGATCCGAGTTCCTTTAAAATGAAGTGGTTTTTAATGTTGTAGGCTTAAAATAGAAAACTCAAAGAGATTCACCTCGAAATAACAAATATCTAGCAGGACAGGTTACCTGCTATGGATATATTTGTTTGGTGTGAAACTCTTTCTTTGACTTCCTGTCTTCTGACTGGACTGCCTTTTTTCTAAAGCTGGTGACGACATTCTAATTGAAGGGCCTGGAATGAGCAGCTGCTCTATCGGAGCAGTTCTGTTAACTTTGGAAGCAACCAGAAGGTTTAAATGTGGTTTAACATATCAAAGTGAGGTGAGGAGGGTTCTATCTAGCTCATATGGTACTTTGTACTATTTGTAAGTACGCAAATTTTCTCTCCACAACATCAAATTTGCTGGTGTTTGTTTTTTCATTGTGTTTTGTCAGGTCTTAGAGTGTGTGGCCAGCCTTTAAAAGCAGGTATTGGAAACGTGAAAATCTGGGGGAAGTAGAAAATGCAAGTACCTCCTCCTCCCCTTACTGCTCAGCTTTGCTCTTAAACGATTTTCAGTAGGGATAGCTGTTCTGTTTAAAGCTTCCGTATTATTCTACATTTTGAAAAGAAAAGATATTAACATTAAAGCCCTCAGAGCATGTGTTACACAGGAACATTTCTCTCAGATTAGGCATTCACCCTTTCCCAAAAACCTCCTTATTCAGCTCTCCTCTGGACAATACAACGTATAACTCCCTCTATAGTTAGAAACCCCTGATATGTAAAAAGCCTTAAAAATAAGGCCATCTTCTATTGCTTTGGTTATCTAGGCTGAAGAAGATGTAAGAAATATCCACTGATTAATTTGAGTACATTTTATTCCTTAAAGAAAACTAATATGGGCAAAGAAATCATTTTGTTCATAAATCATCAGTATTTCTTGCTTCTCCTCATTTAACCTCCTTGGTGAGTCACTTTTGATCCTTTGACCATATTTTTGTATCAATATGTTGCTAAAAGATTCAGTTTTGGTGGATTGTTCAGAACATCCTGGAATTCCACAGTTCCTGATGCCATGCAATCTTACAGATGCATATTGCCTTTACCTAGAAATTGGTCTGTTTTTCTGAATCAACAAGATAATGCTGCTGTGATTTCATAGTGGGTGTTTTGTTATTGTTGGCTCTGCATATTTCTAATGCTTTCCTTTAAAGAAGCTTCAACATGTCCCATTTGTGGAGTTTAATTCTTTTTTTTCCCCTTTCTTTTGGGACTCAGACACTAGGAAATTATCCTGTCTCTCAGTTATGTACTGTAGATAGAATCGCTATTAGTTTGTTGAATTTGTGAAGACCCCTCTACGCTGGTCGTTTCCCCTCTTCTCCTCTAAGTTTATCTTGTAAATTCAGAAAAACAGCTCTGAGCGGCTTCACCTGTTTCCATCATTATATAATCCCCATCAGACCAGTCCTCACTGCCAGATTATAACAACCCGGTAAACTTAATCCAGCGTAATCTAAGTTATCTGTCCGCCCACCTGTTTATTGACCTGTTCTGCACCCTGATACTGAGCCTGCCTGATTCCATTCTGCCTGGATATCCTCTCAGTTCCGCCTCTGGACCTCTGGATCTCTGGATCTTTCCAACCGGGACTGCCTGCGCTCCTGTCTGGACCACAAACCTCGGAAGCCTCGCAAAACTGCCTCTCTTCTTCCCTCTGGCTCACGAACCGGTAAAGTTTCACTATCTAACTGCTGATCCCCTGCTGCCTCCCTGCTTCTTTCAAACTCACCCCCGCTCACCAAACAGGCTTCTTAATAAACTGTGTTCCAACGTCACTCACCTGTCTTGGTCATATTTGGGTGAAGACTCTGTTTCTTACAGTTTATTAAGAAGCGTGTCTGATGGGGATTATATAGTGATTGAAACAGGTGAAGCTGGTCAGAGCTGATTTTGGACGGGTGGAGCAGAGCAGGTGTATGGACTGAGTGATCAGCCCAGAATCAGTGCATTTTTTTTTTTTTTTACATCCCCCAATCCACTGTTTATCTCACTATTATTGTCCATGTTGGCAACCTCCTCCTTAACCAACATTGCAACAGTCAGTTATTCCAATAGTCAGTTATAGTCAGAACACTTAGAGCAACTGACGTTGGTCTAAATGATCTAGATATGGATGGTTTTAGATGAGTAACCAATTCTCAAGTTATGAATTTTAAGATAGAATATCTTTGATATTCATAAATAGCATGTTTTTTCTTCTCTCTCCCATTTTGATGAGTCTACCTGAAGTTTGCTTTTGTGTCATAACATATTTATGCTCTAAGGCAGGGGTGTCAAACTGGTTCCAGAAAGGGCTGTGTGGCTGCAGGTTTTCTTTCCAACCATGCAATAGCACACCAGTTTCCAGTCATCTCATCAAGTTAGTTCAGCATTAACATGATGACATGATGATTGACTGGCATCTGGTGTGCTATTGCTTGGTTGGAAAGAAAACCTGCAGCCACACGGCCCTTTCTGGAACCAGTTTCACATCCCTGCTCTAAGGTTAAGAAAAGAAAGTATTGATTTTGTACTTAAAAGAGCCCAGACACCATTAAAAAAGGATTTAGCTGCAGTTTTTATGTAGAAATTCTCCTGGTAAAAGTCACAAAGTACTGCAACATATCTTTTTGTTTTTCTAAATAATCATCTCTTAATATGGGATTATTTTCCCATCTATAATATACTCATATTCAAGGGTGGTTTTTGTTTATTACCCAAGTTTCAAAACAGAGGATCTCCAGATTGATATTTTCATAAACTTTGGAGCAGTTTTAATTTTCCCTCCAACAGATTAATGTATTTCTAGTCACTAAGTTTGGATTCTACTCCGGTGTGCAATATTGGAGCGTTTAAAGTTTTTGTCTCTAAATAAATCAAAAACAAATTATTTTGCCATAAAGCCCACACAGTGGATTGAAATACTTTGTTTGTACTTTGTGCTTAATGAGATTCAATTACATTGCTCTCTTCAACTCAATACAAACTTAAAACTTCATACTTTGCTGTTCCATGAAAATGTTTATTAAAATTCATGGAAAGTGTGTCAGTAATAATGACCTATAAGCTACCAAGAGCTTAAAATAGCTTCCCCCCCTGAAGAACATTAAGACAATGAACATTTATTTTCCATCCTGCAATACTAGACTCTATTTTTCATTTAATACCTTTTCTTAACTTTCCATCCTGCATGCTTCACTGCAGATAAATTTAAAAGGAGCAGAAAGCAATAAGGAGTCACTCACTTGTATCTGTATTCTACATTTTGGAGCAGTTGAAAATGATTGTGCATTAAATAAGACCTCTGGCTGCAGAGGCTATCAGCCACTCCAGAAGTAATCATTGGCTCTTAATATTTATCAGCTGCCCCATCAACCCTTCATGGTATATTATGGTAATTGTCAGCAGAGGGGCTATAAAATGTGTTTATTACTCTTGTTTTCTATAAACAGAAAAAACCCCACAGCCATGTCGTTATGTATAACAGAGGCAACCTTGTAGCTCTAAGGTCAAGATGTAAACCATTTCAGCTGGGGTAGGATGTGAGGTGGAGCTGTGTTTTACATTTTGAATGGCTAGAGCATCTGCAGTACTGCACACTATAATCTATTGACAACCCTTTTACAGAGTTATTACTGAGCAGTATTAGGCATCTGACTTGCAGTCTTGTTACAGCCTTGTAGAAAGGTTAGGGAATTTGAAAGAGAAAGCAGTGAAGGAGTGAAACACATAGCCAGGTACTAAGTTAATACCTCTGGTTGAATTCTGCTTACGTTAGTTATTTAATTTGTTAAACACACATGGCAGACGCTAAGGGGGAAAAAAACTACAGATGCGTCTTGATAAATTAAAATGATACTGAACCTCGTTTGTAGCTCTTTAGAAGGAAATATGGAAATGTTTACCTCATTAAGATGTTATTCTGCAATGTGTGATGGCATTTTGTTTCAAACTTGTTACCATACGTCAAATTAAAAAGCCATCTGCCAGCTTCCGTATATTAAAATCAAAACTGCCTTCATGAAAAAAGAAATCATTAAGATATTGCAAATCTTTCTTTTGCTGTTTTTTTTTTTGTTTGTTTCCAAATTCCCATCATATATTAACACTATAATGGAGATTAGTGTGAGTATGTCTTTTTAGCTTGCTTAAATTTCTGGTGTCGTTTTTATAGAATATATAAATATCCATGAGTTCAAAATATCTACTTCAACTCTTTTTTCTGTATTATTTCATTTTAACCAAGTATTTTGTAAGTTTTTTTTGCATTCCTTTGTGGTGTTATATCAATGGTCAAAGGACTAAAGTGTCTTTAGAACGCTTTCACTGGTTCTGATCTACTTTATCAATCTCATGAACAAAAAAAGTTGGGTATTAAACATCTGTGACCCAAACAACTTGTCGGTCATGCTACAAATAGCCTAAACTGAGTCTCAACTAGGCCAGCCCGGTCTAGAAGCTGGCCAGCCTCACGCTGGGTTGGCTCCGAGTGTCTACAGTGTCTTTACATCCAGTTTTACTGTGTTGAACCTTTTAGTGAGTGCCAAAAAAGAAAAAAATGAACTGAGCAAACAAAATGCAGCAGCAGTTTGTATTAATTGTGACTCTATGCTCATGTGTGACTGTGTGGATGAGTGTGTGTTCATAAACACACATGTTTTTAATATTCGGCTTCATAGTGCATGTGTGTTGGAGAGAAGAAATTAGGGTTTGACTGATAACTTTATAACTCTGTCGGTCACACCTGCTGGTATGAAGGAGATCCTTCCTGACCGCAGCCACAAAGAGCCTGAAAATGCAGATTTCACTTTTCAATATCATTTCGATTGTCAAAGATGTTGTAGTGAAAAGCCAGGTTGGTCCAGGTACAATTAATTCTATGTTTTTAAATATGTCAAACCATATTTATAAAGTATTTATTCATTCCTGTGATAAATGTTAAGACATTTAGATTCCGATACCTCTTTAGCGTACTACATTTCTGCCTTAAATCTCTTTGGCATATGTGATAAAAGCATATTACAAGTTGTAAAAAACTTAACCCTCCAAATGAATCTTTGAATTAATCTGATACTGTAGCAAGCATAAAATAATCTTAAATAACGTCAGGCTGCCATAAACATTTTAGAACATGGCTGAAAATGTTTCCATTTAATCATCACAATGGAAAAATGCAATTGTATACGCGACTGTAGTGCTATGCAAATACCGTATTACCAAATGAAAAAGCCCTCCTGTGCTGTTGTTGTCTGCACTATCTCTGATTAACTTGGTAACGATTAGACCTCTTTGGCCTCTCATTTTCATGCATGCATTGAACTTGAAGCCTATGATGACCTTGCAAATGTAATTTTCATAAAACAAAATAAATGTGATTTGTTAAGGATGCAAGCAAGGCATAATATAGTTCTCTGAAAAGCTTAAAGGCAAATCCTTTTGACACATTTTCATGCTTAGTGAATTACCTGAAAGTGCTCTTGTAGAAGGTGCACGCTTCCATCTGTATATCTACGTACATTAGACATGTTATGTTATTTATTTATTGGCTTTTTTCAAATCAGGAAAAAGCCAAATTACAATATAAATTCATTGAAAAAACAACAAAAAAACAATCATGATTACTGTAGTTTTGATACTGTTTGTCAGTCAAACCCTAGTTAAATGTTGGACAGATGTTGGGGGAGGTATCATATGGCCTTAGATCATTTGTGAGGAACCGAAACAATAAGCTTG